TGTTCCGCTGCCCCCTCCTGCGACCTCTGGCCCTGCACTCTGCGGCTTTCCAGCGGCGTTTGTTGGCGAATCTGACCCCGAGCTCCTGCTGCTCCTCGGCTCCTTCGCCCGAATCCGAATCCATATCGGAATTGGTCACAGCTCCGAGTGAATTGCCCCGGAGACCGCAATGCGCTGTATTTATAGTAAACGTGTCCGATTGATTTGGCCACCCGTGGCGACTCCGTCGCAGATGCCTCAATTTGCATCTATCAAATGGTTTACATGGCTCTAAAAAAGGCCCCTCCATGGGTCGCCTTAACATTGCAATGCTCTTACTTGTGAATTATTAAGTGTAACTACTGCGATATAACTCATGGCAGTTTCGGTTCGGTTTTAGGATGCAACATAGTATGAGTACCAACGAGCCCAAATTGCAAATACTCGTAGGATCAAAGTATTACACATGATGGTATATGATTATGCTCCTTTATCAAGACGGCTTGCTATCCTTTTGCAATTATTCCAGCTGATAATGTTGCAGGGTAATAACATCAAATGAATTAGAATTATCTACGTCAGGTTAAAAAATGGATGCCCTAATCTATGCCCTGATCTTCTGTTTCTGCTTCGAGATTCCGCCACTGCCCTCATTGATGGTTTGCCGGGGTACTTGGCCCAAAAGTCCCTGCCGTCCAAAAAGACGATCCTAAAAAAGAAACCGCTAATCATCGGGCAGCACAAAGAGCGGACAACCGCTCACCTAATTATTTGGGCGATTGTGAGGAGCGGACAGTCGGCTCGTGGACGCTTTTTGTGGCCTCTTTTTGTTTCGACAAAAAGCGAGCCAATTTTTTTCTTTCTGGGCCACTTTGTTGCTCTTTTTATGAGTTTTTTCCATTGTCACTTTTTCCGGGCCTACCTCGCGGCCCTCGAATCCCGCGATGCCTGCCCTACAAACCTCCTAATTACGGCAGTTAGTCGTTGTCCGGGCAGCAGGACATGCGGACATGCGGACATGCGGAAGGACTTGCGTGCGTTTATTGCACGCTCGAATTTCCACTAAAAATTGGGCCGAAAGAAAAAACTAGGTAGGACCAGGAACTGGAAACTAGCAAAGCGGACGCGCCTTTTTATTGGTGCACCTTCGGCGGAACCGCAGGATAAGAGCTGTAAAAGCGACGACGAGGACACAAGGATCCTCGAAATCGAGAGCGACCTCGCTGCATTAGAAAACTAGATCAGTTTTTTGTTTCGCGTCCGCTGATTTTTGTGCCCGTTTGCTCTCTTTACGGTTTATGGCCCCGTTTCCATTATTTCGTCATTTTTCCACATTTCCCAGCTCCTTTGTGCCGCTCAAAGAAATCTGTACGGAATTATGGTATATGCAGATTTTTATGGGTCGCCGATCCGGTTCGCGGAACGCGAGTGTCCTGCCGCGAGGACCTCAGCGGCGATCCTTGTCGGCCGTATTAAGAAAGTAGATCACGTTTTTTGTTCCCATTGTGCGCTTTTTTCGCTGCGCCAGTTCTGTTCCCCGAACCCAGCGAACTGCTCTAATTTTTTAATTCTTCACGGACTTTCATTGGGCTCCTGGAAAAACACGCACAAGGCTAGCTCTAGGACTCTACTGGCATACCTGTAATGGTGTCCATAACGCGCACTGCTCTCGTTTTTAAGACCCGTTTGTGTTCGTCTCTGGAAAGTAGATGGCATTCACATTTTTATGAGTTCGTTCCCAACTACGGCTAAGATATGCCAGTTTGTTTTGTCTCCGGCAATTATTGGAAATTTCATTGGGTCGATTGGGTAGATGTCGATTGGGTCGATGTCGATGCCTTCCCTCGGGAAAAGTGAATAGGTTGTGCCATAAAAATCGCTGCTCTTGGAGATGAAATGCTGTAGTAGTATGCCAAAGCTTCATTCTGCTTTTTTATTTTCTCACTGCTAAATGCAGCTAATTTGTCGATTGTCTGAAAAGTGTTCTCTAAGCCGAAGCACTTTTTTATGATGTTGCTAGAAAATGAAATCACTTATGTTGCCATACATCCCCAGGCATTTTATGGCCATTTGAGTGCGGGGTGCGCAGTTCTGCTTAAGTGGCGGATGGAAACCACCACATTTATTCGAGGGATGATGTGCTCTAATACCTCCTCATCAAATGGGATGGTCTCTTCGCATGGAGAGTGGCAAACTCTTGGAAAAGTGAGGCGGAGTTAAAAAGCCGTGCTATATAACAAGATTTTTGATATTCAGTTATGTATATATGGACAAGAAATATCAAAGACCTTATCAAATATGTTGCCTTTTATCCTCGAAATGAAACAAATGCTCTACTAATTTGGCAAGTCAAAAGATCAGTTCAGCAATTATTCAAAAGAACATAAAATATGCGTATATTTTTGGGAATGTACCAGTGCTTTCCAAAATAGATTGCCAAACAAATCAACTAATAACTTTAATTTAAAAAACTGGGCAATCCTGAGTTGGCAGTCTTCCCAAGAATGGCTCCTCGAGGATTTCGGGCTGAATCACTTACTCAACCCGTCGATTCCGTCCGCGCAATCATCATAAATTCTCGGTCTTTTTGCTGTAATTGTTTTATGGCAGAAATTACTCAATCATCAAGCATAATTCCCTCGTTTTCGCCGTTTTATTGCCAATTTTTGCACTGCCTCCCGCCTTTGCCACTCCCGGCCCTTCCCTCATCGTTTTGCGAATCTCCGACGGATTCGCATTTCTATTGCGCGGACAATCCGGCCAGTGTGTTTGCCATTTACTTGCCATGATGACGGGCATAATCAGCGAGATCGGCGCTTTGTGAGTGCAGAATGTGCAATAAAGCGGCAACAATCGGCTTGGGATTCGCCTTCCCCTATTCCCAGTATTGCCCGAGTGCCCGGACGACTGCGAAAGTGTTTGCGGATCGGGATCGGAATCGGAATAGGAATAGGAATACGAGACTGAGCAGAGGCAGGTACTTCCCGCCGGCCGGACACTTTCGCCTAACCAAGCGGACTCAACCCAACCCAACCCAACACAACCCAATCCAACCCACCCGATCGCCATAAAGGGTATTTACTGTCGCTGCCGCAGAGCCTCGCTTGACGACTTAACCCAAGCGGTCGTTCCACGTCCATTCTCCGGACGGAGTCAAAGACAAAGGCCGGCGGAGCTGGACAATAGGCAAGGTTGTTGCTTGTGGGTAGAGGGTTTCAATCCCGAAATTGTACCTTTCCCGGGCGAGAAGGGCTTGCATGTGGGCCTTTTCCAGGTCGCAGATGTAGGTAGATGTAGATGTAGATGCGGATGGGCCGGTCGAGTTAATGCCAATGCAAATTGCGGCGCAATATAACCCAATAATTTGAACCAACTCGCGGAGCAGCGAGGGCATCCTACCCGGTTACCCGGTACTGCATAACAATGAAACGAAACTGGGACAGATCGGTGATGGTTTCTCGCTGTGTGTGCCGTGTTAATCCGTTTGCCATCAGCCAGATTATTAGTCAATTGCAGTCGCAGTCGCAGTTGCAGTTGCAGGGTTTCGCTTTCCTCGTCCTCGTTTCACTTTCGAGTTAGACTTTATTGCAGCATCTTGCAGCAACAATCGGCGCAGTTTGGTAACACGCTGTGCCCTTCCACTTTCCACATTCCACGGCCCAATTCGGCGGATTTAGACGGAATCGAGGGACCCTGACTATGTTCGCATAATGAAAGCGAAACCAAACCGGGTTGCAAAGTCAGGGCATTCCATCGCCGTCGCCATCGCCACCGCCATCTTCTGCGGGCGTTTGTTTGTTTGTTTGCTGGGATTAGCCAAGGGCTTGACTTGGAACCCAATCCCAATCCCAATCCCAATCCCAAAGCCAATCCCAGTGCCCATCCCGATCGCAGTCCCATGCCCTTTTCATTAGAAAGTCATAAAAACACATAATAATGATGTCGAACGGATTAGCTGCGCGCAGTCCAGGCAGCGCAATTAACGGACTAGCAAACTGGGTTATTTCTATTTTTTTATTTTCGCCGACTTAGCCCTGATCCGCGAGCTTAACCCGTTTGAGCCGCAGCAGGTAGCCATCCCCATCCTGGCTTGCGCAAGTGGCAGGTTCGCTGCCCCAGGAGAGCCGTGGAGGCACTCTGGCCACTGGCCTGGTACAGTTGCCGCTGGGCATGATTATATCATCATAATAAATGTTTGGCCCAACGAAACCGAAAACTTTTCAAATTAAGTCCCGGCAACTGGGTCCCCATATCCCGTATCCCATTTTCCCTTTTCCACGTTCTGCCCGGCAAAAGGCGGCCATTATCTCGCTACAGCAGATCCCAAATGGTTATGGCTCCCGCTGCCACCGGGGTGGATGAAGCCCCCAAACCTTGCCGCCCATTCCAGCTCGACAGTGTGGGGCTGTTAAACGTGCGGCATAATATTAAGACTTCATAAAAGCGCAAATAATTCGCTGGCAGGCGATCGATAAATACATATGTACACACATATACATAGTGGGATACACACTGGCAATCCCTGGGATGCAGTGGCGACAAGCAGCACCCGCCCGACTGAGCGGCATAATGCCATATCATTCTTGATGAAGCCGATAAAATCCCATTATTAAGGGGGCCCGCCCGTCCCGCTCGCTCCTGCGGAGCAGCCGCCTGCGGGCGCGCGAGACAAAAGATTCGCTCATCCGCTATGAATACCAAATCCAAGTCAGCGCGCGCTCTCTCTCTCCAGCACTCTCGGCACCAGCATGGCCAGGACCTCCTCATGCTCCTGGCGAGCAGAGAGCGCTGCTCCATCCCGCTGCTCCTCCGCTCCTCCGCTTTGTCCCGCCTCGTTATCGCCGCTCAGCACCCAGCAGCCAGCAGCCCAGCAGCGCACGATTAGCACCGCTCCGGCAGTCAGGCTGTCAGGCTGTCCCGCTCGCACCTGCCTCGGCCGCTGCGATTGGCCGCTCCCAGCGACGGCGGCCATTTGCCTGCGGAGCGCAGCGGTATAAAAGGGCGCGGGGTGGCTGAGAGCAGCACACTCGAGCTGTGACCGCCGCACAGTGAACAACTGCCTCGTTACTCAGCCGACAAACCGACTTTGAATCAGAAGACGCATTCCAAACATGCACGGATACCGAACCTACAACATGGAGAGCCACCATGCCCACCACGACGCCAGTCCCGTGGACCAGAAGCCCCTGGTCGTGGACCTCTTGGCCAGCCAGTACGGCAAGCCGCAGACGCCACCACCCTCGCCAAATGGTAAGTTTGATGCAGAAAAGCGCAGCAAGAGGGACAAGTGACTTACACCCGCTCCTCTGCTCTCTCCAAACAGAATGCCTATCCAGTCCGGACAACTCGCTGAACGGCAGCCGCGGCTCGGAGATACCCGCCGACCCGTCGGTCCGTCGCTACCGCACCGCCTTCACCCGCGACCAGCTGGGTCGCTTGGAGAAGGAGTTCTACAAGGAGAACTACGTGTCCCGTCCGCGTCGCTGCGAACTGGCCGCCCAGCTGAACCTGCCGGAGAGCACGATCAAGGTGTGGTTCCAGAACCGACGCATGAAGGACAAGCGCCAGAGGATCGCCGTCGCCTGGCCCTACGCCGCCGTCTACTCCGATCCCGCCTTCGCCGCCTCCATTCTCCAGGCCGCCGCCAACAGCGTGGGCATGCCCTATCCGCCGTACGCCCCCGCCGCTGCCGCCGCTGCTGCCGCCGCCGCTGCCGTGGCCACCAACCCGATGATGGCCAGCGGAATGCCCCCGATGGGCATGCCCCAGATGCCCACGATGCAAATGCCCGGACACTCGGGACATGCCGGCCATCCCTCGCCCTACGGACAGTACCGCTACACGCCCTACCACATCCCCGCCCGCCCGGCTCCGCCACATCCCGCTGGCCCTCATATGCACCATCCGCACATGATGGGCTCCAGCGCCACGGGATCGTCGTACGCCGCCGGAGCCGCCGGCCTTCTGGGCGCCCTGCCCTCCGCCTCCTGCTACACGGGACTGGGCGTGGGTGTGCCCAAGACGCAGACGCCGCCGCTGGACCTGCAGTCGTCCTCATCGCCGCACTCCTCCACGCTGTCGCTCTCGCCAGTGGGATCCGATCATGCCAAGGTGTTCGACCGCAGTCCAATGGCTCACTCAGCTCCCTCAGTTCCTGCTCCCGCCCATGCGCCGCTGACCACCACCAGCCCGCTGCCCGCCCCCGGCCTCCTGATGCCCAGTGCCAAGCGGCCCGCCTCCGACATGTCGCCGCCGCCCACGACGACCGTGATTGCGGAGCCCAAGCCGAAGCTCTTCAAGCCCTACAAGACTGAGGCGTAAGCCCTCGCTCCACATCCCGATCCTGCTCCTGCTCCAGCTCCTGCTCCTGCTCCCCCAACGATTGTACAAACTAGCCTTAGTCAGCCACTTCTATTTATTCCCGAAGATTGTACAGATTGTAGAGTAGCTAATTGTAGTCATAGTTAAGGCGCAAAATCAAACGTACTCGTAAATGCGAAAATACACGAAAACTTGAAAATTATACGACACTCTGTTCATTTGCACTACCTGGTAGGGGGTGAGGCATATCCACAGATATATATACACACATACCTGGGCCGAGTCGCTTTTATGGACCTGGCTCTCTGGATTAGCTGTGGAGAAACCTGGCGGGACAGCTGCTCAGCGCTGCTGGCTGGTGACCTTCCTGCAACTGTGGCAACTGTGGCAAATCGAATCGAGAGTCCTTCGGAGTGGCCACCCACAATCAGGAGTAAGGGTTCCCGATGCGGATGCACTCGCCACTGGCAAGGGCAAGGGAAGGGAAGGGAAGGGAAACGACATCCACGGGGGATTGGCACAAGCCATCGAACTATTGGAAATGCAGAGCCACCATGCTGGGCGGCGACCTTGGCGAGCAGTTGGGCCCACTTCCTGCCACGCGTCAGGTTGCATTGCCCATGGAATCAATTTCGGTGTCCTCGCATTGGATTGGGCTCGGCTAATTAATTGTCACCTCACCCGTTGAGCTGTTTGTTTGTTGTCCCTGGCCTCATGCTTGCTTTCTCTTCTCCGCCGGCCAGGCAATTGCCATAATTGAGAAATCATCGCAAGGACGAGCGGGGCAGACTGCTGGAGTCCCTTTCGAATCAAATCCCTATTTAATTGCCGTGCAAAACATGTGTTTCAATTGCTCAGCCGGGCTGTAAAGGGGTGTCAATTGCTCATAATCCCGCAGCTAAAAAACCAGAGTCGCCCAATCCCAGTTGAACCCAGGAGCTCGAACTCGATGTAGATACAGATACACGGATGCTGATACAGCCAGTCACCCCTGATCCCGGCTGTGTCTAATATCTAATTGAGCGCCGGGCATCAAAACATGTTTTGACACTTGCCAGCCGAGCCAAATGGGCATAAAAAATGGTCCGTGAAGTGTTATCCTTGGAGTCGGAGTGGCACACACCCCTTTCCTTCCGTGCTGCTGGTGTTTTGCGGAGTTCACTCCGTGTTTTCGCTTGGGGGATGCGAGCACACAAGTGGCAGCATTTTATGATTTGATAATAAAGATACGCGCCACGGTTGCTGCCCTGGGGAATTCCGCAGCAGATACGGCAAGCTCGGATGCAGTAAATTAAAAAATAGCCAAACAGGAAATCTCGGCAGGATTGCCGGCGGGGGAATCCAATTGCTGGGTGGTTGACGTTGGCTGGCAGGCGCAGGTTGATAATTAATCATGTGGGGATTAGGGATTAGGCTTGTTGAAATCCAGAAATCATCAAGTTCTTTATTGCTAAATTATGCGACTAGCTGCTGGAATAACAGGCGAGCGGATTAGTTTGTCCAAAGGGGCAGATGGGCACTGATGAATCGCCAGATATCGGATCCACAGCTGCTCGCTCGTCCGGCGGCATAAAAGAGTTACTGATTTCGAGGGAGTAAATGCGATATTATTATCAATTAGGCATTCGCCTCTAATTCGGCATTGTCTCCGCCGCCGAACCGACATGTTTCCAACGTTTATGGGCGCAATCAATGCTGGATCCAGTGGATACAAGATGCCCAGATGCGCAGATGCCCAGATACCCAGATACTTGGATACACAGCCATGAATGAGTGGCACTTCATGCGAAGTTCTCCCACGAAACAATGCATTATTTAAGAGCTCTATACCCTATACATCGAGTATACCATATGATGTGCAAACAAAATTAAGTTTTATTGGGGCGTGATGAGTGGTGAGCGAGGAACTAGGGATTGCCTTCGACTCGCCTCTCGAGGATGGGTTTCTGTTGCTGTTTCTGTTTCTGTTTCTGATTTTCTTTAATAGTGAATTAGCACCTCGAATGGGACGTTTATGGCGCAAACTCTCCGCTTTCCAGCTGCGGAGCCGACAAAAGGCAGCTTTTGTGGCCAAGACGACCGCAATTCGGGCTCTCCATCGATTTATGAGCTACGAATTTCACACTAACTGTCAATGAATATAAAGTGATCATCAGAGGGCGAGGCGAAGAGCCTCTCCAGCGGATACACGGCGCAGCTATGGACACGGCGAGATCTGAGGCTGGATGGATCTCAGATGGATCTGGGTGTTATCCAATCCCATGCCGAGCTGCAGAGAGCCAGAGAGATTCCCAGAGCTGGACTCTCCACTTCCATTCGCGTGGTAATGGCAGTCGAGAGCTGTGAGCGCTAAACGAAGTCGAAATGCTTTATGACCCTGCCAATAGATGAGGTCTTTTGCAATCAGCCAGCGGATGAATAAACATCTTTGTAAAATGATGATGCCAGCACTGAAATAATTTCACACGTTTCGCGCACACACAGCACACACATCCAATGTGTGTGTATGCGTCATGGGCCCAGTGACTTGGATTCGGATTCGGATTCGGATCCAGATACTTTATTGGCATGGTATTTGCCAATTTGCACGCTGTCCATTAACGGACCATGCGCCGTTTATCGGACTCGCATTCGAGCCATTCTGCCATTTTCATGGGTATTAACGCACTGATAATCGCGACAATCAAACTCGTGTTTAGCCAACACTCGCAACATTCCCAACATTTCCATACTGGGGGTGGTCTGTGGCCTCTGCTGTGTGTGGCGAATGCGTCGCCAATTGGTCAGGGTTCACTGTAAACGGCCCAGCCAAATGGGAAGCGGCAATCAATGGGAAGCCCGAATCAATTGCCCTGATGGATGCTGCGGCTGGCCAAAGCTACTGCAGCTTTTCGGGCCACTCGGCGCTGGGGGCAGGAGGGCTATAAATCCGCTGGCCAGATAATGAAACTAGAATGATTGAGGCAATCACTGGTGTGGCCAGCAGCCGGCGGGTCCTGCGCTCTGCGCATGTCCTGGGTACACAGCGCTCGGCCCACATAGCGATAGATACAGATACAGATGCAGTTGCAGATACAGATACAGATACATAGAGCAGGGTACATTATGTGGCGAAGGACTGGCGATTACCGATGCCGCAGCTCAGGACCTCTGGATTTGCGATCCTGCGCACGACGTGTCAACTTTATTGCGGTTTGACTTTGCCGCGGCCCCTCGAAACTCACAAATGTATCCTGGAACCCAGGAACTCAGGAACCCGGGGCTCTGAACTCTGGACGCTGGACTATCCGACCCACCATTTTCATGATTTACAATTCTCGTTTTTTTCGCGTTATTTTTTTAGGGGCTTTAATGACCGTCGTAAAGCCGCAGGAGGACCAGGACCAAAACTCTGCTCACATTTCGCGCACTGATTCTAAAAAATGAAATCATTTTTTCTTGAATTTCACGGCGCGTCTCGAGCAGGACTCTTTGTTTTCGTTTGGGCAATTGTCCTTTTTTGCGCTCGGCTCTCAGTTTTTTCATTTCGGCCAGCGGGCATTACCTATGGGTATACACGGCGTTTTATGGCGGAGATGATATTCGCCTGGGATCGGTTCCGTTTTTTAGGCCATAAAAATTAGGCGGCATAAAAAAACTGCATTGGAATTCTAGTTCTAGTTTCAGGTTTTTAGGTTTTCAGGTTTTCAGGTTTCTGCCAGCCCGGATAGATTCGCATTTCGCGGAATTCGGAAGCGGAACAGAATGGCCAGAATGGCCAGAATGGACGGGCATCCTGGCTGACCTTGCCTTTTGGCCAAGGGGCCGTAAAAAAATTGACTCGCTGCGGTGCGCGGAATATTTTTTAAAATCTGACTTTCCAACAATCCCTGATCTGGGTTCGAATCGTAAAAAAGCAGAACAAAACCAAGCGGCCATTCGGGCAATCGGCTGCAAATGAGCCGTTAATGGGCCAAAAACGGGCTAAAAAACTAAGTCACAAAGTCACAAGGTTGTCCGGGAAAACTGACCCGGTTAAGGATGTGCATGCCGGGACATACCGAGAAGAGCGCAGGACACTCCGCACTTCAAAGCTCCCAGTGCCCGACGGATTCCACCGAAGATTCACACGGCTGGCGGGGATGCCCGTTTGATCCAAACCCGCCGCCTGTTAATGGCCACAAAAAGCAAGTGACATGCAAATTATACGGATTATGGATAGCAAGGTCAGGCCGAACTTAATGGGCGTGACCGCTGGATCTCCCTCCCCTCCTTAATCGGCAAAGGAACCGCCAACGGCAGCAGCACCACCACCACCACCAGCACCACCAAACCACCGATCGAGTGACCTTCGACCTGCCGCATTGTTATCTGCGTGCAGCGATTTTTTCTTCTTTTTTCACAGGCCATTTGCGTGCGCTCCTGCTGTCCTTGGTGTCCTTTTAGCATGCGTGTCCTTTTTAGCATGCTAAAAATCATGCGATCGAATATCTGCGCGATCTTAGCCGGAATTGGGATTAGTCGTTTATGGCCCACGCCTTCAATCCTCCATAAAACACTAAGCGCTTTCGCCCAATGTATGTATGTATCTCTTGATATCTCGAATATGTGGGTATCGGTATCTGTATCTGTATCTGTACCTCTGTATCTGTATCTGTATCGCTGTATCTGTTGCTGTGCTGTGATGGATAAACAACTTCTTAATGCGATGCGGCTCAAAATGGCTCCCACTCATCCCCATTGGCAGCTATGGGCATTGGAGACTCGATGGGCATCCGGAAGCGGGGAAGCCAAAAATATACACACACATCCCATGGATGCCATCAATTAGCATACAATTAAAAAATGCTTAAACAGGGAAATCGACTTGGGATGCGAGTGGTTCGGCCACAGATGCAGCCGCAACAGCATTTGTATCTCCAAGTGGCGGGCAGCAGATCAAAGCGACGACAACATAATTGCTGCTTCACTTCACAGTTCTCAGGCACTTAAGATATGTATGTTGCATATGTACACGCATATATAGCTATTGCGAGTCCGGATCTGCAGCTTCCCCCGATCGATCTTCACTTTTTGTCTGACTGACGGTGGGCCCTTGAGGATCGATGGCGCCTGCTAATTGAGATCGCGGCGATCCTTTGGATGCCCACTTGAGGAGTTGTCCTTCCTTGGGAGGGAGGGACGCGGAAGTGCGGGACT